CTTTACGTTGCTACTGAAGATCATATATTTTAAAAGACATAGTAGTTTATTAAGTTACATTCTTAGTAGAATTCCATTTTTTATAATTTAAAAGAAAATGCATAGTTAGACATCTGTGAGACTATTTGGAAGTAGAAAATTGACATTTTGAGATTTGATTATCTGGTCAATAACTTAGGCATTTAGTAGAGACATACTTAAATTATAGCTTTAATTTTTAAAGGTAAAACTATGTATACCTGAAGTTAGAGAGTTCCAGTTTCTACTGATGTATAAAAAACTCAAACTTATGCTCACAGATTCTGCAGGTCAGGAATTTGGACAGAGCTCAGAAGGAATGGCTTATCTCTGTTCTACAATGTTTGTGGCCTCAGTGGGAAGAGTGGACAGCTGGGGAAACCAGCTGGAGGTGTTTTCACTCACAAAGCTTGTGTTTATAATAGCTATTGGCTGGGATCCCAGCTGAGGTTGTCAGCTGGAGCACCTGTGTGCTGTCTCCCCAGTATGGTCTGGGCTTCCTCACAGCATGGTGGCCTCAGGGTAGTTGAACTTCTTACAGTGTGACTCAGGGCTTAAAGCACATGTGTTCTGGTAAGCAAGATAGAAACTGCATTTATGCGTCTGTGACCCAGTCTTGAAAATCACCAAGGATTACTTTTGCTCTGAAATCACTGACAAGTCCACCTAGATTCAAAGTGAGGAGATAGTTTCCACATTTCAATGAGAGGAGTGTCAAGATCACATTGTAGAAGAGTATGTGAGATGGGACATATTGTTGTGGCTGTATTTGGAAAATACAATTTGCCAAACAGAGTATTAGCTATGCAATGCAGGTTATCTGTCATAAGCAGGATAAGAGATGACTATGTTCATGCCTCTTGCCATCTCTTTTTATAAACTAGCAATAATTTTGTGTTCATGGTTACTTCTCTGGTCTTCCTTTTGGCCTTTTTTCTGTTTCATGTTCTTGTACTTCCCTTTATCGAGTCAAGGTAGTCTAATAACCTCTAAATCCCATTGGGCTATTATCAGTAAAAGTTTATTTTCACTTACACCTCAGTTCATTGTTCTTCTTTATGAGGAATGGTATCTCTGCTCCATGCAGTCATTAGGGACCCAGGCTTTTCTTGCTGTATGGTGCCACCACCCACTAAGGTCTCAGAATTCTCCCTTGGACCTCTGCAAATGGCATGGATGAAGCATAGCTTCTGTTAGCTGCTTTGGCCTAGACATATCACCTCTGCTTATGTTTTTTTGTTTTTTGGTTTTTTTGACTGGCACCTGTATGGTCCCTCCTATAATCAAGGGGGATGGGAAATATAGTTTATTGTGTGCCCAGGGAGAAGCTGGGGCATGGATATTAGGTATGTCTGTTATATTTGCCATCTCCTATCCTCTCTCCTTCTGGCTGCTAAGGAACCTGAAACTTGAACATTGACAGAAAAGCCAAGGGTAGAATGAAACTAACTGGCCAAAAAAACATCTAGTTCCTTTTCACATATATTAGTTTGCAAAGCAGTCTGTGAATTATAGGGATTTAGACCTGAGCTAGACTTTAAAGATTATTTAGCTCAATGTCTTAAAACTATTTTTGGAATTTTATCCAAATGAAACTTTATGGGAAACTCCAATTTGTGTAACAGATGAGAGTGAATCTGCTCTGGTTAAAAGAGGTTGTAGCCTCATCTTTTTCCTCTGCCAAAATTCCTCTAAGGAATTTTCAAGGGATCCCAGGACTCTGTGATCCAATCAGATCCAATTACTTTAACATTTAGAAGAAACCAAGGCACAGAGAGACAGGGACTCGATTTGCCAAAAATTATGTGGTTTGTCTCGAGCATGTTTAAGGTTGCAATTCAAGCCTCAGTGTTCCTAGACTCATGCTCTTTGCACTATTTACTTAAAAATGGGGCCACTGCTCCTTTTTCAGTATACATAGACCTTGAGACCCCTGGCTGGAGCAAGGATACAGTATTCCTGCCTGGTGTTGTCACCTTCTTCTCTTCATTTACCTACGAGCGGACAAAGGACCAGGAAAGAGAAAAGAGCTTCAGCATAAGCAACTCTAGCATTTATCTCCAGGGTGATAAGATGAACATGAGGAATGAGGGCCGGCACAAGGATCTGCAAGAGGATGCTCTGGTAGTGTGAGCATCATGGAAGGGGAAGACCTGAGTTCACCTGAACACTCTTGCCCTCTGACCTTGATATGATCATGCCACTGTACCCAGAGAAGAGAACAGTGTGATGGAATTAAGCAGATCTGGATTTGAATCTTGGGAGTTATGTGGCTTCAGGCAAGGCACCTTATCATTTTGAGTCTTAGATTTTACACTTATATGAATATAAGAGTAACTACCATTTAAGATTGTTGGCAGATTTAGTGCTAATATATTTTAAACTCCAGACACAGTAGAAAGTAATGAGATGTTGCCATCGGATGCATCCACTTTGATGAGTACCAGAGTCAGGTTTCACGTCATAGTTCTGCCACCTATGGCTATATGAGATTCAAATCTTTAATTCTTATCTGCAAAATGAGGTAATGATTAAAATATGGATTTGGGTTGCTGTATAAAACAGAAACCCTGGAATCAGACTGCTCTCATTTGAATACTAGTTGTTTTAACTATCTGTGTAGTCTTGGGCAAGTTAATTAATCTCTCTGTACCTTGGTTCTATCTTTTATAAAATAGGCATGATTATAGTTGGGAATTTTTAAGGTTGTTATGAAAGTAAATATTTGTAGAATAGTGCCTGGCCTATAGTGCATGGAAATGTTTGTTAAAATAAATAACCAGGCCAGGTGCGGTGGCTCAAACCTGTAATCCCAGCACTTTGGGAGACTGAGGTGAGTAGATTGCCTGAGCCTGCGGGTTCGAGACCAACCCAGGCAACTTGGCAAGACCTCATCTCTACAATAAAAAATAAAAAATCAGCCGGGCATGGTAGTGCGTGCCTGTAGTTCCGGCTACTTGGAAGACTGAGGCTGAAGGATCGCTGGAGCCCAGCACGTCGACACGGGTGGTTATGCGTGTGCCACTGCACTCCAGCCCGGGTGATGGAGTGAAACTCCAACTCAAAAACAAAAACAAACAACAACGAAAACACACCAATAAATATCTTGCAGGTTTGTGGTAGAAATTATTTGGATATGCAATATAAAGACCTGAAAACAGTCCTCCTGGTCATAAGTACTCAATAAATATGACCTATTGTTACATAAATAGTGTTAGTTATATTGTTTTTGTTATCTTTAGTATCACTCATCAAAGTAGAGTCAACCTTTATTGAGGTCCTATAAAATTGTAGGCACTATGCCGGGAAACTTTTTTTCATCATCTTTAGGATTTTTCAGGTTTTGAGGGAATGGTCCACCTACATGCTCTCCATATATATATGTGGAGATTTGCTTCCTTTTATAATAAGTAGCTGGAGGCCTACCTGATTTTCTCCTTGTTCTGAGAATCCTACCGGGGATTCTCTAGATAGGAGTGTGGCCTTTTTTCCAAAGTCTATTTTTCCTTGACCTTCTCACCCAGACTCCCAGGAAGCAATTGTTCAGAGCCACAGGGAGGCCATTGTCAGAAGGTAAGCAGGTGCTGCACTAACTCTAGAGCTCTTAGGGGTGTGATGTATTTCCCTAAATAGCCAGTATGTATCCTTGCAGAGCACACAGCTGGAAAAGAGACCTTTGCTAAGAAACATTTTGCCTTTACTTATGAATTAGTGCCGGGTGCCATCTAAAATTAACTTTTACTATTTTATCTGTGCATACAGAAGCAGCACATTTATCCAGCAGTAACCACTCTAACATTTTGAATTTATCTAGCCTTATGAGTTTATTATATAGATATAAAATTGCAAAATGGGATACCTTGGTATTAATTTTGGGAAAAATGATAAACGTTTTAAGAAAATTAACTTGGTTTATCTTTATCTACCGATATATATATATATATATGAGTTCACAGTGCTTCTGGGAGCCGAGTCAGTTTGTTAGAACAACACACTTGGCTAAGGTCCAAGGCTAAGGGGGAAAATGCTGCTTACATATATATATATATAAAACTAAGAATTGTTGTTCCTGAATTTCATTTCCAAATATACCATGAAATTCAGATAGTCCTATGGAATTTGAAGTTAATTCACATTAATGCTGCTTGTGCCTAACACTCAAGGGTGGATTTTGGAGAATGATTCATGCTGATTTTGGATAAGGTCTGCCTAGCACTTATACAAAAGCTTGGGTTTAAAAAAAAAAAGAGGTGTGTAAATACAGGGTGAGAGAGATTTGGCTCATAGCATTTTATGTGAAGGATTTGTAGTGTTAGTAGATGGGGAAGTTGGTGTAAGTATGACTGTGCACTCATAGCTGTGCACAGCCCAGAGCAAAGCCTGTAATAGAGTCACTGTACTTTTCACTAGACCTCATCTTCACAAGTGCCTTTATTCCTTGATGCTATTGTTTAAGTGGAAAATTGATTCATCTGACCATGCCTAGAGCATGGTGACCAACACGGGGAAGGATTATGGAAGAATAAGAAGGAAGAATCCTTGCCCAGGAGGGGCTCATAGTATAGGTGGGAGACAGGAGTATAAAGGAATGAGCGGGTTGCATGACCTGAAAAAGAAGAAAATAAAACAAAAAACCAAGGAAGGACTATAATTGCTGTTTTCAAATATTTACAGGACGAACCAGCGCTTCTGGGAGCCAAGTCAGTTTGTTAGAACAACACACTTGGCTAAGGTCCAAGGCTAAGGGGGAAAATGCTGCTTACAAAATCTGGCTTGTAGTTTTATCACCATATAGCCCTCCCCTCTTCCTACAAACTCTCAAGACCCCAACATACTTGAGGCCTGAAGAGTAAGTACTGGTTGGGGATAGATGACTCACAGGACACCAGCTTACGATCACTTCCGATGCTCTTTCTCTCTCTGTCAACACCACATGGTTCCTGTTCACCTGCTTATAGTGTCAAATGTCTGCTCCTCTTATCATGACCAGCTGGCCAGGAAGTAAAGCAACATCTGGTGTGCTTCTGCTTTAAGAAGAATTGCAGAGTTTCTTAAACATTGATGTGCACATGAGTCATCTAGGGGGGCTTGTTAAAATGCAGATTCTGATATAGGTCTTGGGTGGCGCCCAGTTACTGGAATGTTCATAGACGCTGGTCTATGGACCACACTTTGAGTAACAAGTCTCTACTACAAGTCATGAGTCATTCCTTCAGGCAACAGACGAATCCCATCAAGTCAAATGATTCCTTCCTCCAAGTAACTATCAGCACTAAGCCTCCCATCTCTATTAACAGAGGGTTACTACCTGAAAATATTGCCTTATTTTCCTCCAAGCTTTCATGAAATAATTTTATCCAGATGCCACGTGGCTATCCAATGTCTTTATCATCCTGAGGGCCACTACAGCAATTATCTAATATATTTTTTCAAAAACACTTCATCCAAGTGATTTGAGATACAGCACTTTTTGAATATATGCTTGATGCTGTCAGAAACTTTATTCTAAGATACAAGTATCCATTTGCCTAACATTAGGGCAGATATCTTTTCTCATAGCTATATCTTTGTGATTACTTAAAAGTAACCACTTGCTTTAATACTTTATAAAGTGATCTGTAAAATATATGCTTAGAACACATTGAATACTTGCTCAATGAGGTCATGACCTCAAGAATAATGATTGGATCTACTTAAATGTATTTGCCTCCCATTTAAAATGATTCTATCAGGTGATCTCTATGAGCATTTGTAATTGCCATTGATTGAAGTTCTTTCAGGGTCATGTTCCTTCCCCCAGTAGTGTCTTATTTGCCAAAATGAAGTCTTTGAGAGATTTCTCAAGATGTGCGAATCTTGGTACACTTTCAAGTATAAGATAGTGCTGCTTTTATATACAGATGCTATGCTATATGGTCTTGGGCAAGGTACTTAATATCTCTGATCATCTGTAAAATTGGAATAATAGTAGCTACTCAGAAGAAGTTAAAAGGGCGATATTTATGAAATCACTTGGCATGTTCCTGGCTCACAGTGGTCACTCATTAAATGACAGATTTCTTGTCTCCTCGTTTGTTCCTCTTAGGTCACTTTCTGTCTTTTGGGGGGGGGAGGGACATATTTTATTTCCTTCTTTGCTAGTTGCAAAGCATCTTGAGTAGTGGTGTATGTGTTTTAAGTCCTTTTTTAGTTCTTCACTATGTGTTTTGTAAAGACATATTGAATGACTTAATGAATGACTAAATATTCTCTAAGGTCTTCTTGACTTATACATTCTCTGATTGTTTGATTCTTCAATGTTCTTGCAGCTTAGAAGAAATAGATTTCCCTTAAAATAAATGTCTTCTGCGTCCTCCTTTGCAGTCTTATAAAATATTTATTATATTAATTACTACTAAGTATGAGCTTGGGTCCACAAGCTAGCTGCCATGGTATCAATAACCCCTTTCAGTTTATAGTGTTGGGGCTGATTCTTTGTTCTGGTGCAAATGAGGTGGGTCAGCTGCCAGGCTTGACTCTCTAGCTTTGTGGCTTTCTTTGGGCAGGTCCCCCGTGAAAGATGAGTAAGAAATATGCATTTGTTCTCTGTCATGAGAGTGGGGGATTCAGGCATAGTAGAGACTGAGTTTCATGACATATTCATTTTAGTGCTCATAGAAGACACATTTTGTCTTTTAGATTAAATACCGATTGGCTAGTCGAGTCAGCCAACTCGGTGGATTAGAGAAGCAGCAGGCCCTCCCAAGTCTAGGGATTAAGCCTAGAGGCGAGTCGTTCTTGAGTTGTCTGTATGAATGAGTTGCTCAAAGTTAGTGCCAGTTGAGGGCATTGCTACTTTATCATCATGCCTCTGGGTTGGGCAACAAACTGGTAGAAAGTGCACACACTGTCAAATTTAGATCCAAGTTTACATCCTGGCTCTGGTATGTTATTTAATTCTGAATCTCACTTTTTACATGTTTTAGCTGGGATAATAATAATGGTCTTGTAGGTTTTTGTGAGTGGTTAATCAGTATATTTGAAATAACTAGTGTAATGCCTCGTGGTAAGATCGGTCCCAATGTTGACGGCAATGACACATGTCAGAGAAGAGGCATAGTTCTGCCACCCATGATAGTACCAGCCCTGCTATGTGTCTGAGGTGTGTCCCGAAGTTGCTTACAGCATTTTATGACTAAAGTGCAGACTATAGTGTTGGAGCTGATAATTTCTTACAGGTCTGGAAAACATGGTAATAATATTGGAAAAGAAAAATCTCAATTGCACATTTCATTCCATGATTATTTAGAATACTGATTCACATATGAGTACCTTCAATTTTTATTTGCCTATTTATTATCTAGGTATTGTTGTCGAGGTATAGTTTTTTTATTTAGGGAGAAGAAGAAAAAATAAGACTAATCTCTTCACTCTGACAGTCCCTAATATTCACCATGACTTTTGTTTCCATTTAATTCTTGAAAAAGTAAAGATAGCAGTCCTAAAAATAACTATCAATAAAATCCATTCTACATGAATGGACTTTTTTAGACAATAGTAAAGGGTTTCTAAGCTGCACTTTTAAGTATTTAAGAAACACCACAGTGAGTTTTGCTAATTAGCTTGTGGCTTGTTACCTCACAGTGGTTCAATTGATCTCCATTTCAGAGGCTCAAGGTGTCGTCATGAGGGGTTTCAGACAATAAGTGCATTGTGTTTCACACAGTGCAATTGATTTCAGGTCATGGTTCTTTGTGTCATGTTTAGCTACTTTTAGATTCTGAGAAAACTGATGATAAGGGGCTGGGGATTTACGAAGGCTGTGACATCTAGAACTAAAATAAAGCAAATGTTTTGTTCCTTTACATACAGCTATTTTGAACTAGAAAGCAGTGGCCTGAGGGATGAGATTCGATATCACTATATACACAATGGGAAGCCCAGGACAGAGGCACTTCCATACCGCATGGCAGACGGACGATGGCACAAGGTTGCACTGTCAATTAGTGCCTCTCATCTCCTGCTCCATGTTGACTGCAACAGGTATGTCTTTGTCTTTGATCATTGGTCATTCTGCCCTTGAAATCAAGCAATGGGAAGTGGGGGAGGGGGTCAAATCCCTCCAAGACTTGCCAGGAAACAAACACCAAGGGACCCTAATTATAATTTAACCGACCAAATAGGCCATTAGGTGTGCTGAAATCATCAACTGTAATATGATAAGAAAACAGTTCATTAGGATGAAACTGTATCCTGTGATTAGGAACAAATGTACAAAAGGTTGATTACAGATTGGGGAATATTAAGTGCACCTCAGAGTGCTTCAGGCACTGGCTGAAATTCCATGGAGCTGTGATCACAGTTAACTGTGATATATTGTTGTTGAGTTCGTTCCACTTGGAAGCAAATAAGCTCGTCTACCTTACAATGAATCTGAGAGGCCTGTGCTACTGAAGCGGCTAATTCTATTTCACTTCATCAAGCGCAGCTTTGCTTAAATGTATTTTCCAAATGGAGGCTTCTTATGGAGGCTATTCTTTGAGTTTTTTTGGAATTGATGCCATCCATTCTCTACAGAGCAATGAGCCTTTCAACTTTTCAGAAGACGGGAAGACTATGAGGTCTGGGCTCTTTCACAGCAGGTTGTGGGTTGGAGAGGAAAAAAGATGTCCCCCATGTTTGTCACTGGAGGCAGATTTAATGATAGCTGAAGAAGGAAGGAGATGCTTGCTCTCTGTTGGATTATTTGTAACTGGACAGCTGGATAATTGTGGCCAAGGGGAATGTTTTGATCTATCCGGAACCCACAAAAACTCCTTATGGATAGTGATCCGATTCCAGTTACAGAGAATTTTTTTGCATTCCAAGTAATACCCATCCATTGTTGATTCTCATTAATGATGCCATCCAAGTCAAAATGACTTTTCAGCATGGAGCTTGTTCCCTTGTGCTGGGATAAAAAGACAGGCATATTGGGGACGGCCTCCCTTCTAGAGCCCACTAAGAGGAGAGGTATTCCAAGGTCAGTCAGCTACAGACTACATTTCTGTTGAGGAGATACTTGAATGTGCTTACCATTCTGGCTCTGTAGTTCCTTTTAAAGGAAGAACTAGAGGGGCAGAGAGCTAGTTTCAGACTCAAGGGAAGGCCTGCCATCTTGAAGTGAGTCTTGGTTCATTTTGATGTGACCTATTTAAGGTGCTTTTTAGACTTCGAACAAATTGTGCTTTCAACTAGATATAATATGTACGTCTGGACAGAGTTTCCATAGAAACCACTGACACCTTTTTACCCTGTAGACCTGGGCTGGGCAACCTGGATAAAAGTCAGCCCTTAGCTGCTATCTTTATTTCTACCTTCAAGAGCCAATTGGCTCCTTTAATTCTCTAGACTAAGGAATTCTCTAGAGCTAAAGTGTTGGGTAGCAATGTCAGGTAGCACTACTGTTCTTCACCATGACCTACCACTCATATGCTGCCTACACGGGATTGCAGAGGTTGAGCACTGCTTGTCCTTCTAAGCCACAACCAGAAAAAGGTCTCAAGCCCCTAGTGTAGTATTTTCCAACAGCACAGTCCTGGGGAGACTGCTGTTTTCTGGCTATGCAATGTTTTGTTTCTTCCTTCCAAAAGTTTTCTCTCTGTTTTCTGACATTCTCTTTGGAGGGAGAGGGGGGTATATAACATCAATAAGGGTACCTGATTCTAAACCAGGTGAAGTGAGGTCCAAACTTCACCTGTATGTTGACCACTTAGGTACCTAATCCTGAATTGTACCCCACATATTTAAAATAAAATAATAAAACAAGAGGAGAGAGGACTTGCCTCTGCTAAGCTAGAGTTTCTTGCTTTCACAAATTCTCTGTCACTGTGAAATATTTAATTATCTTCTGCCATCTTCAGCCACTTGTTAGCTGTGTGAATTTGGGCAAGTTTATTTCTCTACATCTCATCTTCATTTGTAAAATGGTAATAACAACACTAATATTTATAAATGTGAATGTTAAGTGAGAGAATCCATGGAATTTGCTTAGGGTAGTGCTCAGCCTTCAGTGTTCAGTGCAAGCTTGTGGTGGTTGCTTTACTCTGCACATCAGTGGTGCCTCTTGGATTCTTCCTTCAAATCTTTACCTACTGTACATGCCTCATGGCAACCATGACTTTCCACCAGGAACATGGGAAGATGGTGGGAAATCTACAGCTCATAGTATTCTTTAAAGTCAGCCCCATTTATAAAGAATGGACTGAGGGGTTTCTAAATAATCCTTCCCCTTTTAAATATTTTTCACACTTTGGCTTATGGCATAACATGTCCTTTACGTAAGATCTTGGAGGGAAAACTTTTGAAGTTGTTGCCAGTTACTGATTCATAGACTCAAAGCACAAATATTTTTTAGATAGATCGAAAAGAATATTTTTTAGATAGGAGGAAAAGGCTCTGAACGACTGGGTCATAGGAAAGATAAATTTTGATGTCTCTGAAGAGTCTAGAAGCATGGTTCCCAAATCTGACTGCGTGTAAGAACTACCTAGGGAACTTATAAAAAAATGTGGATAACCACGCTCCATCTTTGACCCACTGGAGCAGATTTCCTGAGCCTGGAGCCTGAGAACCTATATTTTTAACAAGATCTCCATATGATTTCTATGCACAGACTGGCATTTCAAAACCTCTCTTCTAGAAAAAGTGAAGGCAGCTGGTGGAGAGGCTGGGATGTAACAAATAAACGAGGACTTGGAAAACCAGCTACCTGAAGCAGGGATGTGAAAAGGACTAAGAAGGAGGGAGTTGAAAAGGACTAAGAAGAGAGGAGTATCAAATGCACAAAACTTACTTCTTGTTTGTACAAGTTTCTTCCATGCCAGAATGAACCAAGTTTGGAGTAGCAGAAGCTCTATCTTATATATCAAGATGCTGGTCGAACTCTCGGCCACCCTCACAGAGGGTGAATTTCACAAACACTGGTTTTCCTTTCTCAGCTCTGCATTTTATGCCACCTTGAGATACTTATTTTTGATGTCTCTTACCTTTAGAATTATACTATCTTACTTTTCTCAACCTCTCACCTCCTGGAGTGCTGCTGATTAGAGGATGAATGCAGGCGATGATGGATAACATTTATTGACTGTTGACTGTGCCAGGCACTGTGCTGCCTACTTTATATTGATAACTCACTCCATAATCATGCTGCTAATTTTTTTTCCTTTTAAGATGAGGAAACTGAGGTTACATATCTGTCTGCAATTCTGCTGCTAATAAGTGACCTAGGATTTGAACCCAAGTCTGACTCATGGCCTAGGATTTGAACCCAAGTCTGACTCATGAGTGCTGGGATTTAACTGCTAGGCTATTCTGCCCCACAGTAGTGACCATTGATACTAGATTTAGAACATGAGGGAAGGCCAAGATTCAATGTGAGCAGTTGTTCCTTTCTGGCATTTTCCACTCACATATTTTATGGAGTTGCTTGGAAAGCTATGGAATCTAATCTTTGTACTGGCATGGGAAAAGGTATCTACATTTATTGGGCATCTACTACAGGTCAGATAATGTGCCAGGCAGAGTATTTCGAAGGATAACCGTATGGCACAGTTTTGTTAGACCCATTTCACAGACTTGGAAACAGAAAGACTCAGAGAAAATAACTAGGTTTCAATCCCATAATATAATAAAAATAGAACCAAAACTTTGAGCCGAGATTACCTCCCAAACTTTAGTCTTACTCCAAACCACCTCTGGAGTGGGTGAATGAAATGTACTGCCCAATACAAAGTCACAATGACACCAGGGAGTCGTTCTAGTAGAGAGCTACTACAGATGGTTCAGGGACCATAAAAACATCTAAAATCAGGAAGAGATTTCTCAGACAATTCTATTGCTCTGAGGAACTTTTGTGTGGCAGGATTTTTCACTTTTTTGAATTTTAGGTCAGAATTGAGAAACAGAGCTTTTTCAGACCTAATTGCACAAATTGTCACAAGAAAAGCAACTGCTATTTGAGTCAGTAGTTCAACACTTTCTGCTAGCTACCGAGACGTACACTTTTCTCCTTGCTTCAACTGTTTAGCTGGGCCTAGTTAGAAGCTCCCAATGTGTGGGTAGTAGATTACCTCAAGCCAGAAACATAAAAGGAACCATTCCGTTGGGTGGGCAGACTGATTATCTCTATTGCCTTGGGTTTTTCTCTAGCTGCCTTTAACATTATTAGTTGCAAACAAAGCCTAGAATGAGACCTGAGCTAACCTTCCTCAGACACACCCTCTACATTCTCAGCTCACTTTGCAGCCTGTCCTTATTCCTCAAAGGACAGAATCCACCAAAATCCGGGATTCAGTGCAAAAGCGATCTTTCCCATTTACCACAAATGGATTTTATTTCCTTCTCTTTATTTGGTAACTTTTAATTTTCAATCAGCTCATTAAATTAATTTATTAAGCACACTATCTCTGCCAGGCTGTGCAGGATATAAGGAAATAAAAGAGTCCTTGCCACCAGGAAGTTCATGGCTTATTCATTTAGTCATTTCAAATTCATTTGAAACCACCAGGGCCCCCCACTGTGATTGGTCCTGATACCTAGATATCAGAAAAAGCCTGGAATCATACAGGAGCCCTTTAAGTAGGTTGATTCTATAACTCGTAATGGCAGACGAATAGTGGAGAGGACTGAAAATAGTTATTCCCAGCATCTTGGTTTTGAAGAGGCATGGAGTGAGCCCACTGGTGGCCAAAGGATGGACTCAACAGTGTTTTTATTCAAATAGTACCTTCATCCAACCTTTGGCCAGCACTTTTTGTAATATGTAGGTGTCTCCATCCACCCAAGTTAACCTCCTTATGCCTCACTGCTGGAAAAATAGCCTTTAAGCATAGTCTATCACATTTCAGCAGAGCTCTGAACTCTCACTTCATTTGTTCAGACTTGAACAAGTGTACGTGGCACATACCCACATGTATACACACATCTGCAACCTGATTGTCGTCTGATAGGGAGTTGATTCAGTGATTACGGTCTAGACAATGAAGATGTTTAGATTTTACATT